GCAAACGTGGTCCCTGCTGCCTAAACTTATCGTCCTGCTGGTCTCACTTGCTTATGAAGCTTGTTTGTCCTTGGTCTCTTTCCTATCACTGCCAATAGCAAACAATAGAACGCAACAGGGAGAATAGAGAGCGAGTTGAAAATGCTGAAAACATCCCTTGCTAACAAAAGGCTATCAACTTCCTCGGAATGGCCGGATAATACACACACACACACACACACACACACATATATATATATACAGTAGAATGATGTAGAGTAGTACTGCCTTGTGCATGTCCAGTGCAATCTCATAAACAGCTTAGGTAAATATAATACAAACATTCCTTGGGAAATTCTCAGACTATGCAGGACCTTGCATAGGTATGCTATGCTTGAAACGGACGGCGCGTATAACCTCCCCTACTGTCGGAGACGGTTGAATGACGACAACAGCGATCGGCTCGTTTCTTCCTGCGTCGATGAGACACAGACGCATAGTAGTTGTTATTGGCAGTGTGTCTGCTATTAAATACTGAAAAGGTAGGGTTTTAATTGGAGACACAAGTTATATGCTAGGGTCGAGGAACCGTAGCAAAACACCCCAACCAGCGATATCCCCATGTTGGCCAAGATAAGGGAGCCTTAGGTTGTAGAACAACCTCGTCCTACGGAACGTGAAAGACAAAAATGGACCGGGCGTGTCAGTCCATGGGGAAGGTAAAGCTGGGGGGGGGTAAGGGTGGCTCAATCGCAGCTGGAGCATCAACACAAACATCCCATCTCATACATTAAGATCCAGTCATGTCGTTCGGCGCGCCGCTTCCTCTCCTTCTCTCTTTCCCGTCCCATCCACGCACCAAACCTGGTCAACCCCTCATCGTCCACCACTCCTCCCGCCTCGTGCCATCCCCCCACTTTGACGAAGAGCCTCTCTATACAGACTCCCACCCACTCCACCACCCCTTCATCCTCGCCAAGCCAAGATTGAACAAATAACGCGCATTGGCCGGCTGATCGGGATGTTTCTCTCTATGTTCGCGGCGGATGCGCAAGTACGCGGCTGAAGTGCCGATGAAGACGGCGAACAGCGAGTCTCCGATTCTGTTTTGGTTGCGTGTTGTTAGGTGGTTAGTTACAGGTTGAGGTTTCCGAGGTTCCTTTACAAATGGCTTTCTTTTGGAGGGTAGAATTTGGCAGCGGTGTTGGGAGGGAGATTGGAAAATTGGCAGGGTATAAATAATTATTTGCGTCCAATACGTTGGGAATTTGTTGTTCATAACACTGACCTCGAGATGAGGTGCGGGTAAACCACCGCAGTAGACATTAGTTTTTGGCTGGGATTCAGAATCTTTCCATATATTATTTTTAATGGTTACCATGCGCGACTATCCCCCTGGTTGGAATTTCGAGAAGAAACAAATTTCGGCTTGATAATGAAGTCGCAGAGGAGCTAGTTATGTATTAGTTAGGTAATCCACCCGCCGCTTACATAAGGGGATAAAACATTTGGATAACTCTCAAGTTAGGTAGGTGGAAGGTATTGAAAGAGAGGGAAGATATGATAAGAATAAGTACTGTTTTATTGCGTGGATTTATAGACGGATGCCAGTGGGTGAATATCTTGTCCGATAAAAGTGGCCTTGGGAGACCAAGGGAATTTAAAGCAGTAACTACTGCCAAATCAGCTTTCTAATATCGGTTTATAGCTAGATCAATCATATCCCAACGCCAGCAACTCAACCATGCTCTCTATATAGATATTAATTCATAAGTAAACAGGAAGAAGAAGCGGAGCGGTGACAAACATAAAATTACAAAGACCCGTATATAAGATCCCAACAAAAGCCTAACGCGCGTATAGTCTATATATATCATGAAAACGGCGGAGTTAAAAAGCAATACAGAAAAAACCGAAAAGAAAACAACAAGAGAGAAAGAAAAGGACTCATTATAGAGAGGAACAAAATAAACCTTCGCGCTCCACTCTATCTTCACATGAGCGCCCCCCCCTACACAACATCCCAGTTACACAACCTTCCCAAATGCCGGAATCAACGTCTGCGCAAGCCAGAAGCTAAACACCAGCTTCGGCCCCGTCATCAGCAACTTAGGCGTCAATCCCTTGAAGAAACTAGTCGGACCTTCATTCCTGATCATGCTGCTGACAATCCGGAAGCCAGACTCTGGGTTCTCGAAATTCCTGTTTTGAATCCCGGGTTTTGATGACATCAAGCGGCGCGGAGACAATAAGGGAAGGCGCTTGCGCCGGCGATGGATGCGAC